CATGCAAATCAGAACACAACCACTACGCACTTGATATCATACATCGCTGATCTGGACCTATGCGATAGAATAATAGCACCTGTCTTTGTGTGATTCATCGGTTCAGGTTCCGACAGCATTTTTTGCTGTCGTCTCTGCTTATGATTGAGGCATGCGCCATGTTTCAGCGTGATCGATTTACTGTCCCAACGCGTTCGTGTGTGCGTTCCTAGCACTATCACCATGTCCTCAATCGATCGAAGTTCCATTCCGATCAGCTAGCTTACACTGATAGTCGAACTCCGTTTCAACATGCAGTCGTTTACTGGCACTGATAGTTTCCTGAACTGGTCGATTATACAAATATATATTTATATGTATACTCTTTTGATTTTCTCTCTCGATATTCCGTTCCCCAACAGTCCACGCGAGCTGCGAGTGCCTATCTTCAATCNTAACATTCTCTCGTATCCGGTCTCTCGCACTGAATGCAGCCACTGAATGTACCGCCCAGGCCCGTTTGATCTTTTCGACCAAGCCCATTGATCGCGACACTCGTACCCTTATCACAAAGGGGCTAAGCCTCATTGACATGTCTGTTTGCCAGCCTCAGTTGGTTTTTTCGAAGTGCAATTGCTATAAAGCCTCAAGAATAAATAAGGCATTTCGCTCATAATCATGTATGTACATTTTGACGGAACACATCTGATCCCTTAATTCTCACGAATGAGGAGAACTAGAACAGCGAGAGGTATTGGGTTCGATAGCAATTGATCTCACGCACAATCTCCGCACGTTGACAGCTGTCGCTAGTGTCATATATGCAGGAAGCCGACCCATCTTTATCTGGTAAAGGGTCATGTAGTAGAAGGTAAGACTACCGTTTCCGTGCCTACTTGTAGCTTACTATCCTAGGGTTCAGTCTGGCGACCAGGTCAACGTAAATGTGCAGCTAACTTATCTTGGATAATGTGCGCGCAGATCGTCAATCATGTTAGTTGGACAAGTGACCGAAAAATTAGTCCGACCTACATAGTCCAACGTATCATTGGAGAACACTCCACATCAAAGAGATTTGAATTTACAAAAATTTCTCAAATAAACCTTCAATCTTCCCTTCAGGCGAATCAGGCTCTCATATCACTTCTTTCCATTTTGAATACTCATCCATGAATGATACATGACAAAAAGCGGTCAGTTGTAGTCCTTTCCAAAACATATGTACTATTAAGAGCTGTGCTTCATTGATGGAATACAACTTCACATTGGTCTTTGTTTTTCATTTTTCCGCGCAAAACACTCACGGAACTCATTTTGCATCACGTGATAGGTACTCACCCGCAACGTCACAGTCCACAGATGGTCTCTTGGTTCCCTCTGGCCATTCCGATCGAGCGCCCACAGCATGTTCGACCCGGGGAGCGTGTCACAGTACATTTGTGGCGTGTAGTCGAACCGAGGCACGTTTGGTATGAGTGGGCTCTAACCGAACCACGACCCTCGAGAATCCATAATGCTGCAGGGCAAGCATACAAAATTGCTCTATAACTCGTGAATTTTTGCATTTCTCCCCTCCCTTTTGCCGAGTGAATGACGAGATCATGTGCTGCAATTATCCGAACAATATCGAAATGTATTTTTATACCTTATGTAAGCATTTATCTTTTCAACTTGTTGCCGAGGGCTAGTTTACTAGCGCACTGCGCATCATCCGCCCGACAATTTCCGGTTATTCATCCATTTTAATTCCGCCTTAAGTGAGGTTGACCCCTATGCCGCCGCATACGACATTCACGGGCCGTATATCTAGGTCATACTGCGCTCATTGGTGTCCCAGTTACTCGTCCTTTGATTGGATTGTGTTTGCTGCTTTCCAATGTATATAACGTTTATCTGGATTTGATAGACAGAAAAAACGCAGTAAATTAACCATAAACCAACCGCGTCAAATGATGAGATTTCCTAGTTTCGGAACGATAGGCTAGTAGCTGACAGCTTCGTCCAGAGCTTGCTTGTTTGTACTCTCATACATGTGGTAAGTGTTTTGCACCACCTTTTTCGGTGCATAAAGATCACAGGGGATCTGGTTTCACACGCAGACCGACCTTGCAAATATTCAATGGCTTGTTGGCCATGTGAAAGTCGTCGCTTTATGCATCCCTTGTGAACACGGTTGTTGGTCCAATTCACACAGACACGAGATTTGAGCAAATCCATAATATTACCGACTGGGGCAGTGTGGTGATGCTAGGATAGGCGAAAGCTCACCATTCCCACTAATTCTTTGCAGACTGGTTCCTCACTGTTGGATTAAGATGACGCCGATAAAAATATACTTATAACCTTCAACGAGATGGGATGGTTTTCACATTATATATATATATATATATAATATAATATAATATAAGAACACTGGATCGAGACGCTTCACAGTCGATGTTTTACTACTTATCTATTCCGGTTCCAAAAAGTTGATTCAGTGTCATGAAAAAATTGTGCTTTCGCACTAATGAGAACAGAAAACCGTTTATGAATGCCTATGAAAAAATATTCCACAAAATAATGAATGCAGGGTGAGAGGAATTTACCGCAGAGTTGCATTCCTGCTTGGAAATCCGCTTAACGCAGATAAACTGTTATGCGATTGGCGAAACAATCAAGTATATGAGAACGATGCGGTTGGTTGTACACGTTGGTCTTTGATAGCTCATTGTTCACGAGGTTAGCACCACTTCGATCGCACCGAAACTGACACTGTCAGTAACCAATGCTCCGTCTACGGATATTTCTCACCGTCCCAAAATGAGAACTTCTGCCGCACGTTTTATCCCAGTAGACCAAACGGTAAAAAACGACTTATCAGTTCCAGTGAGCCTGTGTATCACATAGATCCTGTCAGGGGGAACCCCACTTTCCCTTGAGGATTTTCATGGTATGAATTTAAAACGGATTGGGACGGATCGCCTCTACGGGAAAGTGCCGGTGTTTTCTGGATATCACTTTATCTTTGAGAGCCGTAGTAACAGAAAGAATACGGCAATCTGATCTGTCCATTCCTTCCGTCGGCACTTTTAAGTTCTATTTTGGAAAAATCTAGACTGTGCGCAAACCTATAAATACAGCACGGTTCTAGATGGTAAATGCACTTTTCTGGCGCGTCCAATAAACGCTCGCACTGTTTACAATTGTCTTTGGACTGAAATCGTGGGACAAGATACGGTGATGGTCCGGTGAACACAACAGACCTCGATGAAATCGTTCGTCTGTATCGAGAGGAAATGAGGTTCTTGTTTGGAGATATGGTAGCATTCCATTGTGTCCAAAATATAGTTCATTCAGACACTTCCTGATCAGACTGAAATTCCTCAATAATCTGATGCGCAAGCACTGCCCGTTTGTGTCTAACACTAACAATTATTGTGAGGAAATTAAGCACAAAAATGAATGTCTTTATTCACCAGCGAAAGATCTCGATAGGTATATCTACAGTGTTCCCCATGGTCATTTATCTTCTGATCATGGTTATTCAGCCTTCGCTCCTAGTTTTCCAGACTTTGTATCGATTCGTTCACTGATTTGCACAAAGTTATGCCACAACAGCCACGCTACATATATCCAGTCCGGGTGCTTTCCAGGCGGTCGATGTCCGAAATTCCGAACAAAACCCACGGTGCTGTAC